AAGAGCTGTCCTTGAAAAAGAGCCGTTTCTGTCAGAGCTCTCTCCGCCCCACCTACCTCACAGGTTGTCTGTTGTGTGGAGGGAAAAGGAGTTTGTAAGCCACTCTGAGACTCCTTCGGGTAGTGAAGGGCGGGGTATAAATCCAGTCGCCTCTTCTTCCCATCTTGCCAGTGGAGGGAGCCTGGCTGGGTCTCTCTGCTGAGCCGCCTGTAATGATTCAATTTCTGATGTGTGTGTTCCTTTAAATGTTTAGTGTGACTGCAGTAATGAAAGGAGAGTGACAGAGGGAGACAAGTGTGATGTGACTGGTTGATGACTGAGAGTGTGGGGGGAGAAGAGAGGTCTGTGAGGGAATTCTGTGCTCTCCAGGAGTGTGGAGAGCTTTTGAGTGAGTCTGTATGACAGAGGAAGCAGCTGGAGTTAGCCTGTGTGGCTATATGTGAGCAGGAGAGTTCAGCCTGTGTGGCTATATGCACAGAGAGTTCAGCCTGTGTGGCTATACATGTGTGAGAGAGATAAACCTGTCAGAGTTTTGGTGTATGAGAAACTGTGTGTAACACCAAGCTCTGTCAGTTATATATTTTTTTTCAACAACAGTTCAAAAATACCCAGAAACCTATTTTGTTCTTTTACAAATAAATCACTCTTTGTTTTAAATTTATCCCAGCATTCAGAACAGTCCTTCCTCAGGGCCACATAGTCCCCTGAGGCCCGGGATCCCTGGGCCAGTTTGGTGTAGAGCCAGTTTGGTGTTGTGGTTAAGTGTGCGGACTCTAATCTGGGAGAACCGGGTTTGATTCCCCACTCCTCGTCCACCTGCTGGGTGACCTTGGGTCAGTCACAAGCTCTGGCACAGCTGTCCTTGAAAAAAGAGCAGTTTCTGTCAGAGCTCTCTCAGCCCCACCCGCCTCACAGGGTGTCTGTCTGTGGTGGGGAGGGGAAGGAGTTTGTCAGCCGCTCTGAGACTCCAAAGTCTCTTCTTCTCTTCTGGGATACATCCAATCTCCTCCTCTTCTTCTTCTCCTCCTCCTCCTCCTCTCAGCTGGCCCTGCTGCTGGGACCCTGGCAAGCCGCTGCCGGTCAGAGACAGGCAACACCAGTCTCCTCCTGGGCATGGATGGGCCCCCAGCAGGGCTCTGGCTCAACAGGAGGCAGCTCCACCGTAGGTTCCCACCTTAGTCACCCCTGGCCAGCCTGTACCAGGAAGGTCTCCCGTGCAAGCCCCCGGGGGCTGTTGGCGACCACTTCAGGGAGGGGACCCCCCCCTGAAAAAGAACAATTTCCCACCCACCCCAGACTTTGTTTAGATCTCTCCTTTCACCACTTCCCACCCTCTCCTCCGTTTTATCCGCACAACAACCCTGTGGGGTAGGTTCAACGGAGGGAGTGGGGCCGGCTTCCCTGGCACAGGGCAGGAAGGGGGGGGAGTTTCGAACCTGCCTCTTCCGGATTCTAGTCCAGCCCTTGCACCACTACACCACCCTGGCAGAGCATCCTAACTGAGCCCCCTCCCACCCCACTAATGGCCCTCAAGGCAACTAAGGGCAAAGATAGCTTTTTCAAAGGACATTGTGGACCTGTCCTTCCTCTAAGGGACTCAGGGCAACCTCTGCAATTGGTCCCCCTTTTTGTGGTCACAACCACCTTGCAAGGTGGGGTAGCCAGGAAGAAGAGGGCTGGCCCGAGATCCCCCTGTGAGCCAGTGTGGCCCAGTGAGTGCTGGACGGGGGTCTGGGAGACCCAGGTTCGAATCACCACCACCAGCACAAGACCTTCTTGGGTGACCATCCAGTCATACACGCTCAGCCTAACCCACCTCACGGGGTTGTTGTGAGGATAAAATGCAGAAGAGGACAATGACGTCAGCCACCTCCGGTCTCCTCTGGTGAGGAAGGAAGGGTACAAAGGAAGCAAGCAAGGGAGAAAGCTATGCCAGAATTTGAACCAGGATCATCCTGTACTAATTAGTGCACCCCTCTGCCATGCACGCACCAACCTCTTGCCACGCACGCACACAGAGAATTAAGGAACATTGTTCCTAAGCTCTACTGTAAATGAAATCACTGCTGGCAGTGGGAGTTACTTCTGAGTAACCATGTTTCAGCGCCTCGGATCTGTGTTAAGGAGTACAGCAGTAGCCCTCTCTTACAGTCCCTCAGCTCAAAAAGAAAAGAAGAAACCTTTTAACCGCCCCCCCCATAGCAGGGAATATTTGGTCAGCTGGTGGCCAAACTGTGGCTCTTTCACACATATTGTGCGGCTCAGGCAGGGCGGCCGGTGAAGCCAAATTTCGTTAGCAAACAAATATCATTGGACAAATAAATATCATTATCAATATCTGCTTTTACCGCTTTTGTTATTATTCTTGGCAGTCTCGTTTAATGTTCATAAAAAAGCAAATGTGCATATTTCCCAGTAAAAGCGTGCGATATTTGTTCATGCCTTCCGGCTCTCAAACATCTGATGTTTATTCTATGTGGCTCTCACGTCAATCAAGTTTGGCCACCCCCGGCTTAATATTTCTGTTATTACCATTTGCCTCGCTCCAGAGGATGGAACAGAAGCTAGGGGGTCAGGAGGGACCTGGCTTCAGAGGGCGGCCAAGTCGGTCTGTAGTACAAGAGCTGGGTTCGAGTCCGGGCGCACTTCAGATACGTGAGCCAGATTCTCAGGGGAGGAGCTTTTCAGAGTGTTTGTCAGCCGCTCTGAGACTCCAAAGTCTCTTCTTCTCTTCTGGGTCATTCTACCAAAACAAAGAGATATTTGGAATTCTTAATTCCTGGTGGCAGCAGAAGGTCTACTGGGTCCACCTACACAGAGTGTGGTTTTAAAGGAGAAAGAGTCTCCCCAACAGGCGGGACGCCGCAGCGCCCTTCTCAGCGGGGCTCTTGTCCAAGGCGGGGGGGGGGGGGGGGTGTGTGTTCTCCGCCCCCCCTCCAAGCTGCCAAGAAGGGCCGAGGAAGGGGAGGCGGGCCACCCGTGCAGTGTCTGCCGCAGAGGGCGCCCCGGCCGGCGGAAAGTCTCCCGAGGCAGCGGCGCCGCAACCTTCTGCCGCACTAGGCCACCCCTCCGGCCCAGCTCCGCGCAGGCGCCAAGGTGGCGCGCAAGAGTTTCCAGGGACACGTGCCCAGGAGACCACGCTTGCCTCTATCCGCGCAGGCGCAGATGAAGCCCGCGGGGGCCCTCTTCCCCGCTACAGGCGCCGGGGTATGCCAATCATCGACCTGGCAATTCCCGATTGGCTCCAGCGAGCCCCGTGGCTCTTTCCGGCGACGCCCAACCGGTGCCCCGGATGAGGGCCGGTCTCTACGCCAACCCCTTCCCATTGGATGATTTTTCCGATTGGCCCTCCTGTCGCCGGGTGGATCCGCGTCCCGTCCGCCCTCCGCCTTGCCATTCGCCGACGCCGGCCGGACCTTCCCTCCGTCTCCCCGGCCATTGGCCGTGCGGGGCGGCGCTCTCATTTTCCGATTGGCCGAGGCGGCGCCACTTGTTGCCAGGCAGAGTGCGGCCTAGCGCGCCGGGCGGAGCGTCACTCCCGATGAGTCGGCGTTGAGGCGTGAGGGGGGGAAGTCCAGCCGGAGAGCCGAGCGCGCGAGAGACGGACGGAGGAGGAGAAGGCGAGCGAGCGAGGAGACCAGGCAGGCAGGCAGGCAGGCCGGAAGGAGCACCCACCCGCCCCC